CTTCGCAAAATATTAATTTTTTAATTTTAATAATTTTATCAATCATAATTTCTTACCATTCTAATTTTGATGTTACAAATTATTATTTCCTTATTTGATTTAAAAATTTTATTATTTGTATCATGAACGATGTGTCAATACTAGAAATAATCGAAGCTATGATGTGTATTATTACTTTCGTCGTGTTCTTGTAAGAATCACACGAAGTATTAATGGTCTCATATTTCATTGTTCCTCATGATTCTATTATTTTTAGTTATTACTATTGTATCTGCGAATGCAATCCAATGCGCACACCGATGCGTAATGGGCGAATGCGCCACTGGATTTGTAATTAATTTACTGCCTGTCTTATAATAGGAACGCATAGTGCCGTAACAGACGGGATAGTGAGAAGGTGTATAAAATTCGTTAAATCGAAATGAAATGATGAAATGATATGTTTTATTTTTTCGTCAGACACTCTTGGGACTTTCGAGCTATTTGCGTCAATAAAAAGGGCATTTTAGGATTTCGCATCCCGCTAATCCTCTCAAACTGTCTCGCTTCTTTCCTACTATTCATTCATTCACTAATGACTTCCACGCGAATGAAGTCTTTGTCGATTGAAAAATGACTGGACAAAAAGTGAATTGATTTCTTTCGAGAAAAGATTAGCTTATAAATCAAAAATAATATTAATAAAGTACGTATAAATAAACAATTATATAGATGGAATTAGGATTCGAGTAATCCGTCGCGAAAAAATAGATGATTTTACTATTAAAAGTATTATTGAAAAAAATTATTGAAAATGAAAGCCGTTTTTAATAGTATTTTATAGCAAGCTGAATGAGTTTTTGCCAATGGTAATATTTTATCACTGAAGATTTTACTACTGACTAGTAATGGTTTCAATAGTACATTAATTTTATAGTTTTATTGCTAAAATGAGTTATAAAATGAATTATTATTGATTAATATCTTATTCCGGAATACACATAAAATTATGATAAAAAAAAAGTTTTTCCCTGAATTCGGGAACTAATTTCGTAGTGTTTCAAAACGGTCATCCATTCGATTGTATATCACCATTCACTATCCTTAATTTCTGAAATCGTATGGAAACCGCTGCATTTCAATAATCCACGAACACCTGTATAATCATGAATATATATTAGGTGTTGGAATTAATTCGTAGCGTTTTACAAGTGATGGGAAGTACTTTCATTAATGTATTTTTTAATGCTCATGTGAAATAAATAACATTCTTTCATTAAAAAACGCTACGAATTAATTCCAACACCTAATAACTATGATACATCTGTTCAATATATGGATAAAAATTTGTGCAGTTCAATTGAACATCCAGTTACTGTCAAATATTTAATTTTAATGTTGTAATAACTATTTTCATGTTAGGAAATCATACTCTGTACTTTCGTAATACCAGTTATCATATATATCATCTTCAACTAGAGGTCTCCACAGTCTCTCTCTTCTGTCAATAATATCCAATGGGGAGAAAATGTTTTTTAAACGTTTTTTAAACATTTATTATTCACGTTTACAATTTCACATTTCACGATTCGTTTTCAAAATAACATTTATTTAATGTTTATTTAATGTTTTTTAAACGTTTATTTAATGTAATTAATTTTACGTTTTATGATTCATTTCCAAAATAATATTTTTTAAACGTTTGTTTAACGTTCATTAAATGTTAATTTTATACTAATATTGCGTTTAAAATAATGTTTCAAAGAAATGTTTTTTAAACGTTTATTTAAATAAATGTTTATTTCACATTAATTTTCCGTTTGACGTAATGTTTTGAAGGAACATTTAGTAAATATTTTGAACGTATTATTTGTGTTCTACGATGGAGTCTCAAAGTAAAGAGGTCGAAGAGTTACCGACGAAGTCCACTGAGAAATCGTTAGAACAACTATTAGATGAGGAAGAGGAAGACGTGTTCGATGAAACGTATATGAGTTCTATAATCGATTTAATATATCAGACGTGGATTACGAATACGTTTATCAAAAATTTGCGAATGATGATTGCATACAGACCTATATGGTAAAGCAGCGAAAAATAGACCCGAATATGATACGTATGAGGGAGACAAAGACAATGAAAGATGCATTAATGTCATTTTTGGACGCGTTGAAAACGAGAGGTTTGCTGAATTCTATGTATTCTATGGAAGAGTTGAATCGTTTCTTCTCTACCTCCGAGAGCAAAGTGTTGCGTAATTTGTTTATGGAAGATTTCATGACGAGAAATACATTCTTCGAATGGTTGCACGATCTGAAGGAGTTTGTTAGATGTCACACGGCGACACTTATTAATGCACCGAACATCGATTGTGAGATTTTTACATCGTTAGCAAAATTGACATCTGAAGGTATGGATGCGCTTTTTGCTTCAACCTCGAAACGGCAAACCGATGGAACATCACAATATATTACAAAATTGGAAAATGGTCATCTGTACACCGTGGGAATTCCAGAAGGACAAAACTGGACATCAGTTGATTCATCTAAATGTGTATGATATTCACGATATTAAAAATAAGGAAAAACGTCAATGGTGGAAATATATATAAAAATTGAGAACACAATTTTTGACCTCTTCCCCAGAGATCGTAAGCAGCAAATGGTGAATCGGCTTTTGGATTGTGTAGCTGACGATTTGAAGAAAGTACCATCAGTAACGAAGGAAAGAAAAAACGTTTATTAAAAAATATAGGAGAGAGGAAAAGACGTTCTGCATATGATATTCACACTTTTTATCACATATTCTATTTATTAATATTTACACATATTTTATTTTATCACATATTATATTGCTATTATTTTTATTTGCGAGTGTTCCTTCACACTGAGAAAGCGAAACACATATCCTCAGCGGGACATGATAAAAGAGACGCACTGCACGATTATCTCATAGTTTGGTTTAATTATTTGTGGCGACATATCTCGACATTCATCATTATGGTCCAACATTCGTTGATTTGCAAAGTATATTTCTTATCTCTTGTTTATTTTTACAAATATGTTTATTATTTTTTTCTTAAATCGTTGTGTATGTTTTTTGTTAAGGATTTGTCGTGATCGATAATAAGCGATTTGTTGTCAAGGAGGTAGCAATTTTAAAGAATGGGAGCGAGTTGACACACTATATTTTTACATGCTATAGCATTTCCTGACGAAGCTGATCAATCGCACGCCTTATGGTTGATGACACATCATCACGGATTGCGGTGGAATGATGGGATGATACCATATCGTACGGCGCAGCGAGTCTGATTTCAGAAGCTGTTAGTGGAGAAAGTGAGGCAATTGTTTATGTGAAGGAACTTGAAAAACGGGGGTAGTTACTGGATATTTTGAACAATGACGACGTTATAATTGAAACGATCGATGTGCATTACGACGAGATTGAATCGCTTGAAAATTTATACGCTACCAATACATTTCGGTGTGGAAGACACAGTAAATATTGCGCGTTACAGAATGTATTAAAACTATTTAATCAGTGAATGCGATTTCAAAGTAAGTAATATGTGTTTCTTTATATACTCGATATATGTGCTCATTATAGTATGCATTTTATTAAAATTAAAAGAAAAATTTGAATAATGGATTTCTTTCCATTACACATATCCTGTGTGCATGTATGTGTGTGAAGATATCATATCCTTTAAATGTGATAGGTTGCATCATGATTGTCTATGTTTCTTTTGTACACTCTTTTATTTTTAATATGCGTATTCTTTTAAAAGATAAGATAGGGTTGTGATTTTTTATGTTTCCGATGATGGAGCGATATATAAATGCGTAATACGGGGTAAGGTTTTCTCACAGTGGTTTTTGAATACTTAATATGTCAAGCGATAGCGATAACAGTCCGAACGTAAGTACGGACAGCGATCTGTCACACGTGTTTTCAGATACAGATAACGATTGTCACGAGCGTTTATTACCGAGTCCTACGTTGGTTACATCCTGTATAAAGGAGAAGAGGTGTTGCAATTTAGCTACACATCATTTACGGAGAGAGATTGGAAATCACTGTTCGCGAGAGATTTTATGGATGAAAAGCATGGTAGTTCTTGTTGACGATCGCGCGAGAAGGTATGAGAACGTAGCTATGAAAGGTGTGCGAAAAATCGGTGATATTGGAAAGATGTATGAAAAAATTAAATTCGACATACCTATAGATAATTGTGGTGAAACGCTCTGGTTCACGTGCAAGCAAGGATAGTAAATTTTTAATATAGAGAGAGATGGATGAAGAGGTGGAGGATCTTTTTCATCGCGCGACGAAAATCGATACGGACATGTATCGAGTATGGAAGCAAAAATGCGACGAGTGTCTCGATTTCTTACAGGAGACGTGTCGAAACAGTAAACGTCGACGAACATCTACCGGAGTTGTAAATGCATCCATCGCTCGACTAGCACGATTGGAAGGTTTGAGAAATGTTTTACGACAACGTTTTGAATATGTGGGCTCTGGCTATGTCGAATCGCAAAAGAGGGTATTTTCGTGGTTGGAGATCGAAACAGCTTTTAACGATCGCGTATTGACTGGTGTGGTGTTGAATTCGAATTACATCGAACCTCGACAGTTTCTCGATGACGCGAGAGATATCGTTCTCGATCGGATACGCGATAATCTTCAGAGGCATATTTGTTTGAAAGTGAATACAATATTCAACGGTGAGTTCGTCACAGATGCTAAGAAGAGATCTACTAAGAGTATTACTACGAAAAATTATGAGCTTTTTGACACATCCGCTCTGCGAGAGTGGTACGATAAACACGTGACAGATGATATTGTAGCAGCACTGAAGGAATTTCAGGAACGTAACAGTAGATAGGCGCTATCACGTATATTGAATCTGATTGTAAATGTTAACAAATATAATCCTATGCATGCGGGATGTTGGGTGGAGCTGCCGCAAGAAATTATGCTGAAGAAAGCGGTAATCAATGTGCGTTCGACAAGCGATGGACAAGCATGTTTCGCCTGGTCGGTGGTCGCCGCTCTGTATCCAGTTAAGTCATATGAATAGGAAATCGTCGTATCCGGATTATACTACTGTATTGAATCTTGAGGGTACCGAGTTTCCCATTATTTTAAAACAAATTACGAAATTTGAACTTTTGAACGATATATCAACGTATTTACCGAACGAGAGAGAGGTGGGAAAAAAGACGATGATAATATAATCGCTCCTCTTCATCTTACCAAAAAGAAGAAAGAGAAACATGTAAATCTGTTGTACCTGCAAGAGTCAAGACGCGACGACGAAAACGTCATCGGTCATTTCACATGGATTAAAAATCTGTCACGATTGATAGGTTCGCAATTGAGTAAGAATACAAACAAGAAGTGTTACTTTACAGATGTCTACATTATTTTCATACGAGCGAGAAATTGTCGCTTCACATCCTTAACTGTACTACGACAAACGATTGTGCTATTATTCTTCCGAACGAGAATGATAAGTGGTTATCGTTTCGTGGTCATAATAAGAAGGAACGACTTCTCTTTGTGGTTTATGCTGATTTGGAGTGTATACTGGAAAAGAAGACCAATGATGAAAACATTTCGAGATTCACCTATCAGCATCACAAGGTTTTCAGCGTAGGGTATTACATACGTTGTGTATACGATGAAACTATGTCGATATACAAATCTTATCGCGGCGAGGATTGCGTGTCGTGGTTTGTCAAGGAATTATACGATTTGGTGCATCATGCGAAAACGATATTCGATAAGAATGTGACTATGGCGAAGTTTACATCGAACGTCGAGTGGGAAAAATTTTGACTCACTGTCATATCTGTGGAAGATCATTTGAGGAAGGAGATTTGCGCGTACACGATCACTGTCATTTAACCGGACGTTATAGAGGTCCTGCACATTCACATCGTAATTTACATTATCAAGATACGTACGTTATTCCTGTATTCTTTCATAACTTGGCAAGTTATGACGCACATTTTATCATAAAAAATATTGCTAATAGTTTTGCGGATAGAGTTGTTGACTTGTTACCTATAACGAAAGAAAATTATATATCGTTTACGAAACATGTCAAGGATACAGTAAACTTTAAGCGGGGAACGGACTGTGTGAAATTGCGTTTTGTGGATTCATTCAAATTTTTCAATACTAGTCTCGAAAAATTGGTATCATATCTCGACAAGAGTAAATTGAAAATCATACGATCGGAATTTTCCAATCTTGACGCTGAGGATTTTGATTTGCTTACGCGGAAAGAAGTATTTCCGAGCATATCGACAGCGTTCATAAGCTAAACGAGACTAGTTTACCGTCGCGTAAGCAAATATTGTTTTATAGTTGACCGACGAGACTGCTTCCGATGATGATTATCAACACGCGACAAACGTTTGGCGACGTTTTTGCATAGAGACTCTCGGCAATTACAATGATTTGTATCTCAAGACAGATGTGCTTTTATTAGTAGATGTTTTCGAAAATTTTCGTGATACGTGTATTGAGAGATACGGATTGGATCCGACGTATTATTATACTTTACCGGGATATACGTGGGACGCGTTAAAATACACTATGTTGAAATACACTGGTATTCGATTCGAATTACTCACCGACATCGATATGGTGATGTTTGTGGAACGTGGTATACGCGATGGTTTAAATCAATGTTTACATAGATACGCGCAAGCTATAATAATAACAAATATAATGCATTTTCGTACGACCCTTCGGAATCCTCGACGTACCTCATGTACTTCGATGTGAATAATTTGTACGGTTGGGCGATGTCCGAATCCTTATCGTACGGAGAATTTCAATGGGTCGACGACATCGAGCGCTTTGACGTAATGTCTATGTCATCAGACTCCGTTGTCGGTTATATTCTAGAAGTCGACCTTGTGTATCCGCAAAGCGTTCATGACACTAATGCTGACCTTCCATTCTGCCCCATTCGCGAACGGCCTCCCGGAAAACGGAATGATAAACTGCTGGCCACTCTTTACAATAAACGCTATGTCGTGTATTATCGCAATTTACAACAGTGTATTCAGCATGGACTATACATAAAAAAAATTCATCGAATATTACGATTCGCACAATCCCCATGGCTTCATGGATATATCGAACTTAATACGAGATTTAGAATGCTCGCAAATAACGAATTTGAGAAGAATCTTTACAAATTGATGAATAATGCGGTATTTGAAAAAATGATGGAGAACGTACGCGATCATATTGATGTTCGACTTATAACGCATTAGGATGGAAGATACGGTGCGGAAGCGATAATAGCGAAACCGAATTTTCATAGTAGAAGTATTTTTTCTGAAAATCTATTTGCTATCGAATTGCATAAACTCGAGGTAAAATTGAATAATATACTTAGGTATGTGCATTCTCGAAATATCTAAGTTGCGTCTATATGAATTTCACTATGAGTACATAATACCATTGTATTGCGATAAATGTAAGATTATGTACGGACACTGACAGCTTGATTTATCTTCTGGAGTGTGAGAATGTATACGAGGACATCAAGCGTGACATCGCGAGATTCGACACGAATGATTATCCTAAGAGAAATGCGTATGATATTTCACGCGTTAATAATAAAATACCCGATTTGATGAAAGATGAGAATGGGGGGGGGATTATGACGGAATTCATAGAACTCAGAGCGAAGATATACGCATTGAGAGTGATCGGAAAGAGCGATACGAAGAGAATAAAGGGTGTCAAGAAAAACGTAATCGAAAACGATCACTTTCGACGATTATGCGTGATGTTTGAACGATGTAACGATACAGTCGAGACGTCAGTCGTGTATACGATCGACATTGCACGAGGTTTATACAGTGTCTGAATTGAAGTTCGCTCCGTATGATGATAAGCGATACGTCATACCCGAATCGGTCACTACTCTATCTTGGGGACATTATAAAATACCTCTGTGTGTGTGTGCTGCATTTTTATTGTAATAAATAAAAATTTATAATACATTCGTTTTATCTATCCAAGAATTATGTGAACTGTCCATTCCTAACCATTTCACGTACACTTTATTTCCTCGTTTGCATAGTATTTTTTCCACGAGATAAACATCAAGATTAGAGACTCGCTGTAATTCATGTTCGCAGAATCCACCAGCTATCGGCTTCCCTTGATAATCTTTCAGTAGATACGTTGCAGGATTCGTATGTTGTGTTTTAACGATGTAGAAAATCTCGGTGGACCAATTAGATGTATAATCTTTTTCAAAAATTGTCTTGAATTTATTAATACTGGATCGCCTATCTTGAACCTCGTTGGAGCGGCAATTTTTACATGACTATACCGTCGACAAGAGTCGTTTTACAACGACGGATGTTACGTCTATTGGTCGCATCCTAATAGTCCCATGTCCCAATAGTTCGATGTTTACGATGATTATAATCTGACGCGGTCAATAGACGCGGTAGCTCGGTCCATTTGTACGAGCCGTTTAACGTAAACGTTTTCCACATGTTATTCTTAAGTGTATGGTTGAATCGTTCCACTATCGACGCTTTCATCACCGAATACGTCGAATAATGATTTATGTTGTATCTCTTCAAAATTTTTTTTGCACGGTAGTGTTGTAAAATTCCTTTCCATGATCCATCTGCAGGTTTCGTGGGTATCGTTCGCCCTTACGAAATTTTAGCTAACGCTGCGGCTGCGCTTCCGTTCTTGCTCTTGAGTGGTAAAGCCCATTTACTCCCTGTATTTACTCAAAACATCAATAACTGTTAAAATGTAATTGTAAAATCATCTTTGTTGAATCACACGTAAGGACGCATCTCGACTACGTCGGCTTGCCATAAATCATCGCGATCGTGCACCACGATGCGACGACGTGAAAAATTTCTTCGCGCGGGTGCATGGAGTTCTTTCACGAGTTTTCGTTTCTCGACACCATTTCTCTCTCTCTGTTATGACAGGAAACGAGCTTTGCGCATATCTTTTAAACCTTCCTATTCGTAGATGTGATAACTGTAGATATGTTTAAATACCTAGACACCTTGATTCAGATGTGTTTAAATATCTAGACACCTCGATTTAGATGTTGAATCTCGTTCTCGTTACACACTTTCGTCGATATTGTTGACGCAGATCATTTACACCGCGATGCAGCATCTGAATATCGTTAGACACTGTCTGAAGCGCGATCATATCTTTCCCTGTCGTTTTAAACGATTTCTCTAACGTCTCTTTCGTCACCATATTATTCATTCGTTGACGCAGATCAGTTACACCGATGAATCTCGTTAGACACTTTCGTCAATAACTTCTCGAGACTTCCTCCACGTTGTTTCGTACTTTTTCCATATCTTTCTGCGTATCCTGAAGCGCGCGTACGATCATATCTCTCCCTGTTATTTTAAACGATTCTCCAATATCTCATTAGTCACTACATTTTTCGTACAGTTACATCTCGATTTAGATGCTGAATCTCGTCAGACATCCTCGTCTTTTCCACATTTCTCCACATCGCTATACACTTCCTGTGTATCTCTCCTTATCGTTCTAAATGATTCCTCGATCTCGTTTCGCGAATCTCGAAGCGTGCGTTCGACATAGGTTTTGTTTACCACATCGGTGTCAAACTCCAGTACGGCTACGTGTTCTATTTTTCGTTTCTTCGCGTCGTAATGATCTGGATTCAGACAGAGCCCACTGTTGTGTACGTAATTTCATAAAGTTTCTATCGACGATCGCGATTTTTCGATTTCGTCTTTCCTCATAGGCATACCAAATTTACTCACAAACATCATATCGAGTTCGCGCGAACTTGACCACTGTCGCAATTTTTGTCACAACGATTCAATTTATAATTAATCCAGCTTCGCGAAGTTCTTATCGATTATTGATAATATTTCGTGAGCGTTATTACCCGCTCGACAAGAAGCATCGAGCAATTGAAGATGATCCACCAACTCGTTGGGATCGTCCCAATGAATGTAATCTATTTCATTGTTAGTCAATTTCGCAGCGGATGATATATTTGTCTTTATACCTGAACCAATACTCGTGCCACTGATTTTATGAGTAACTAAGAGCGGGGCGATAATGTTTTTGTATTTGTGTCCTTTGTTACTCTTAATAGGCATTCTGGCGTTATTGTCATGTCTGTGAGCATTCGTCGTTAATAATATACGTTTGTTTATCATTCTCGGTATAGATAGCGTCGTTTGGAATCTTCTTGAAGATCAGTTCATATAGACCTGGTGTACTTTTGTACCTCACTCCGTCTATAATTATAGTGTCGTCCGTATCTACATCAAATTTTTTATTACCTAATATCATACTGTTTACATCAAAATAAACACCGTAGATCAATTTCGTTTCTTGCATTACCAGTTAAAAGAGTATTCACATATACTTGTCCTAACGGTCCTAACTGACTTTGCAATCTCTGACGACTTTAAGATGTACTCAACACCTGTTTGACAGACGTTTCAAGTGATGGATCATCACCGATTTCAAAAACTTCTTCGTCCTGCAAGTCAAAAAGAGTTACTTATTATTATTGTTATTGTTGTTGTTGTTGTTGTTGTGATTCTATTGGTGTGGAATGAATTATGGATGAATCAGGCATGATGTTTGATCGTTTCTTTTTTTTTATTTGTTTGTTCCATGGAAGACGCTGAGAAGTAATTTGTGTTGGAATTGCATCATTATCGTCGTCGTCGTCGTCATCATCATCCTCATCATCGCTGTACTCACGTTTATTCTTTTGCTTACTCTCCATAACTTAGTTTCAAATGATTTATCTCCACGTTCAGTGTTTCCAGCAATTTGTTTCAACGGTTCGATAATAGGTTTTAATTGTTTCTCCAGAACGATCTCATTCTCCATTATGCCTTCAATGCTCTGTGTTTCTTACGAATCGATGCACGTGTCTTCGCGATCAGTTTCGCCCATTCAGAGATACTTTTCGTTCTGACCATCTTATCGTAACATCAAAGAAGTACTGCTCACTTTTTTCACAAAACACTACAGATGATTTTTTTATACTACAGCGAAATCGTTGAATCCTTGTTTATATCTATCGTTGCGTAATACGCTATCTTTATCTATTACCACAAAACCATATTTGTATTGCCAACATAAATGGCACAACGTACAAAAATTCTCATACGATATATCAGTATTCACGTGATCGTTATAAATGTGTTTTAAATTAGTACCGTGTTTAGTAGTACTTGTTTGAATAGTATCAAAAAATTTGCATTATCGTATTAAATGTTTCAGTATTTTTGCATACGTCTGACAGAGATAAAAATAATCAATGTCGACCCATAGAAAAATATTCTCTAATAGTATTCTGATTATCACAAGCCACATCATCGAATACGAATATTGAATTGGGAAGTGTCTCCTTCGGTGGTATGACGTCACAATTATTGGAAAATGCGTAGTAGCCAATACCATTTATCGATTCGAGTAGTTCTTCCAAATATCGATATTTCGGTTGAAAGAGAGATTTCAAATACACGTACACGTTTTCGAAACGTACACCATGTGGACTTTCTATCAAACTTATCAAAGCGTTCATTTTACCACAGTTGAACGGTCCACAAATGATACAACGAATTGTATTCGGTAGTAAAGGGCCGTGTCTACGAATCTCTCCAACCGTTTCATCAGACATGAGTCACGTCTTGCGGTCGAGATTCGACACTCCTATTACTCGTGATTGTCGTACGAATCGCATTTACTTGTATAACGTGCGCGATGTAACGCGAGCGAGTTTTTCGATACTATTTATATCCTCGAGCAGGCGCTTGATTCGCACAGTTTACTATAAAGAGAGATCGTTGTTGTTGTTATCGCAAAAATGTTTTTCTTACTAACGGATAAACGTGAGATTCTCAATTTTACTGCCGAGCAATTGCAATACATATCAAAGATTATTCTTCTATAGGAATTTGAGAATTACATGGAGCTACTGTAAGATCGATTACCCGAACATTTAAAAACGGATCCTGAAGTGCAACGCTATCGTCCGTGTATAGAGCATTACAATCGTTCGTGGCAACGAATACACATAGACGGTCCATCACCACTTATCAAAAATTGCGACATATGCTGTCGTATGGGATAAGATAGCGTGAAGGGGGAATAATTCCTGCGTATGGTGTAGGTTTACTTGACAAGACAATAAACGCGCTTCCGTTTGAAGTACATATATCTGATTATCAATTTTGTGGACCCGGTACTCGTCTCGCGAAAAGACTAACGCGTGGTGATCGAGATATAAATCGATTAAATGCGGCGTGTCCCGAACATGATATCGTCTATTCGCGAAGCAACGATCTCGCCGATCGAGTTCTCGCTGAAAGAGCACGCGAACGTATAACAGCGAGTGATTCGATATTTGGTGAGAAAACTGCCGCAACCGCTGTATGGACAGCCATGAAAGTAAAAATTAGGGATGGGTATGAAAAGAAGAAAAAAAACGAAAAAGAAGAAATTATTTCCGGTAGCGAAACGTGGAGGTCCTACCGATTTCACCAATATTAGGTGCGCTCGGATCTTTGGAGCGGCGAGCGTAGCGAGAGCTGTAAGCGATCGCAAAACCGCTCGACGTCAGACGGAAGGTCGCTGACTGTATCTAGCGCCCTACAAACGTGGTGGTAGCGTGAGGAAAAGAAAAGCAAGAGGTAAAAAAAACATCGTGGAAGGAAACGTTAGAGACTCTTAAAATATCGCTCTCCGGTATCACAACGAACGAACAGTTGAGCCGTGCAGCGTATCGTTTGCGTTTACCATTCTTCAGAGGTATGTTTATGCGTGACGCGTTACCGACGAAACCGCATCGTAATGAAAGCAGTATCGTAA